TTGATTTCGATTTTTTTTTGGGGGGGGGATTGGTTACAAGTTATTAGTCATAGTCAGAAAAAAAAAACTACGCAAAAGAGTTAAATTCAAAGATCTCTTTCTAAAGTAAAATAGGGGGATATGATATAGAAATGATGAGATAAAAGGGTAGATTATTGAATCTATTTTAATCCCAAAAAACAGCTATTAATCTCAAAATATTAAAGTCCTAGGCCTGTAGGCCAGAGTTGGATACCCCAACATTATAGAAGAACTTTCAATGATTGTCCAGGGAGCTGGATGTCCCTGTCATTAGGGAATATTTCACCCTTCTGGGGTCTTTGGTGGAGTTAAAGACTAAATAATTAAACTTAAGAAAATTCAAATTTAAGAAAAAAAAACTAAAGACAACACAATAACATATAAGATCCAGACCCTCTGTATATTTCCCATTTTTATGTGGCTTATTATATTTTTTTTTACTCTATTCCTTTTTTAAGGACTTTAATATTTTGAGATTAATGGTTTTTTGTATTAAAGGAGATTCAATAATTTACTCTTTTATCTCATCATTTTTATATTATATTCCCCTATTTTACTTTAGAAAGAGATCTTTGAATTTAACGCTTTTGTTTAGTTTTTTTTCCTGACTATGACTAATAACTTGTAACCAACTCCCCCTCTCCCAAATGATGACAAACATCCATTACTAATGCTTTGGGAATGTGGGTGTTTTTTCTAAATTGCTTCTTGTTGTCTGGGGGCATTGGAATCTTTGGGGAGAACCTTGAGAAAAATCAGGATAATTGTCAAGTCCTGACTGGAGTGTTCTGTGAGGCTGGGTCATTTCAGCCAGCAGCCGTGAAGCTGTTCTGGAGGCTGGATCACCTGGGCCATCCATTTGAATTGGTGTCTGGCCCCCTTGCTTTGAAAATACATAAACTTTTTTTTTTTTTGGTTTTTCGAGACAGGGTTTCTCTGTGTAGCTTTGGATCCTGTCCTGGAACTCACTTTGTAGACCAGACTGGCCTCCAACTCACAGAAATTCACCTGGCTCTGCCTCCCAAGTGCTGGGATTAAAGGTGTGTGCCACCACCACACTGCAAAAATACATAAACTTTTAAAGGTCATATACATATCTGCATTAATACAAGTATAGACTATGCATTGTACATGAGTCAGCCAAAGATGACTTTTTGTATTAATGTGTGAGCAGGTAAAAATATATATCACATGTCTTGTAGTTCTTTTAGGTTTACTTTTTTATGTTTGTAGTCAGGATTTTCAGGGGGTCTTCCCTAATCAAACCTGCTTCATATCAACCTGGAACAAATCCACAGCCTCTCATATCCTTTGGAAATAAAAGCATAACCTCTTCCCCAAAGTAACATATCTTTTGTCTTCCATTTTGAAGTCAAGACATTTTAAAAACATATAGGTTGATTTGATCCAGCAGTTTTTATAATCCAATGTATTTTAGCAACTGTCATTCCTTCCTCAGCAATCAGAAAATCTAAAGACAACACAATAACATACAGAATTCAGACTCTCTGTGTATTTCTCATCTTTATGTGGCTTATTATATTTTTTTACTCTGTTCCTTTTTTAAGGACTTTATTAATTTTAAACTATTTTTTAATCTGAGACTATCTCTACTCTTTCTCTTTACTCTTCCAATGTTTATATTTTTAAACACACTGTAACCCATTTAGAGGTTATTTTCCATCTGGATCTGTCTTTACTTAGCATCTGTGCTGTTTTTTGATCGCATGAGACAAATCTTAAACTGCTATGCCAGCTGCTGCCGATGTAGCTTAGTTTAGTGCATGGTGGTAGTGCATGGCGGCTGGCGGCTGGCTCCTCCTGTAGGCAGCTGTTGGAAGACATGTCTTTGCTCTGTGGTTGGCATGAGAGACACCAGACTAGGAAGCTGCATTTTGGCTCTGTTTTTGCATGTTTAGAACCTTTTTAAAGCTTTGTTAGGGATTATGTGGAAATTCTGGCCCCATGCTGGAATGCCATGAGTAGGCAGAGTTTCTCTGTGTCCCAGCAGCCACTCTCAAATAATCAGACTGAGTCTTATTATTTATTACAGATGCTCAGCTGATAGCTTAGGCTTGTTACTAGCTAACTCTTACATTTTTAAATTAACCCATATTTCTTATCTACCCTTTGCCACATGACGGTACTTTCTTTTAACATGGCGTGTTCAACTTGCTTCTCTCTGCATCTGCTCATGACTCTCAAGACTCCACCCTTCTTCTTCCCAGTGTCCTTTGTGTTTTTCTGTCCCGCCTATACCTCCTGCCTAGCTACTGGCCAGTCAGCTCTTTTATTAAACCAATCAGACGGTACCTTGGCAAAGATACATCTTCACAGTGTACAAAAATATTATTCCATAATACATGTCTGCCACAAGCTGGGCTTGTGCCCAAGTATGGTCAAAAGCTGACCACTTTAGGTGGGGACTTGGGCAGCTGGCAACTTCAGAGGAGGAAGCTCCAGTAACCACCAAGAATGTGGAACTGGGCTTTTAGTGACTTTCTTTTATTTGGAGACTCTCTGAGTGGGAAGGGTTTGGAGAGAGAGAGATAGGAATTGGGCTTTCTGGATCATGCAGGGGCCAGCTGGAGGTTCCAGCTGAGCAGATACCATTACTACTGCTTCTCTTTTTTTTTTGAGACAGGCTTTCTCTGAGTAGCCCTGGCTGTCCTGGAACTTGCTCTGTAGACTTGGCTGGCCCTGAACTCTCAGAGATCCACCTTCCTCTGCCTGCAGAGTTCTGGAATTAAAGGCTTGCATCATCACTAGGCATTTTGTTTTGTTTGTTTTGAAACAGAGTTTCTCTGTGTAGAGCAAGCTGGCCTTTGACTCAGAGTGATCTACCCTCCTTCCTCCTGAATACTGACTGGATTAAAGTTGTGTACCACCACACATCTTTTCTTCTTCTAAGACAGGATCTCAGCAGGGTAGTGGTGGTGCATGCCTTTAATCCCAGCACTCCAGAGGCAGAAGCTGAGATAGGTGGATCTCTGAGTTAAAGGCTAGTGTGGTCTACAAAGTGAGTTCTAACATAGCCAAGGCTACACAGAGAAACCCTGTCTTGAAAGACAAGCCCTATAGACCTTGGGATGGCCTACAGCTCACTATGTAAACCAGGCTGGCCTGGAACTTGTAGCAATCCCTTTGATTCTGCTTCCCACACCCAGATATTTAGTTTTGTTTTGCATGTCCAGCTTCTTACTTCTTTTAATGCAAACTTGATTTCTATATTTGTAGCTGAAGACTTTCTAAGCTTTGCCCCTTGCTTATAATCAGTAAAAGTGTTCATATCTTTTAATTAATCAATTGATTAGTAAAACAGTTTTCTCTTACAATTTTGATTCTGGCCTTTTAGAGCATTAGGTTTGTTTTATAGTGTGTCAGCTCTTCTTCTTAGCTTTGCAGTACATTTATTCTGTTCATCTAGTCTTTGACAAGAGTGTTTTAGAATACATAATAGCAGAGTGCTATGGTTTTCCTCTAAAAACTCCACTTTGTTTTTCAAATCAAATAACACCCTTCTGTCTTCTCTAAAAGAGTTTGTAATGATAAACCTTGTCAGAAACTTTTGAAGGGGCTAGGGAGGTGACTCAGGAGTGTTTGCTGCTCTTTCAGAGGACTGGAGTTTGGCTCCTAGCACACATGTCACTCACAGCTGCCTGTAACTTCTGCTCAAGGAGCTCTGACACCCTCTTCTGGCCTCCAAGGGCACCTGCTCACTTATAGCATATACTCAACAGACAGATACACATATGTAAATAAAATAAAAATAAATGAAAAAAGAAAAAGAAAATCTTCTAGATCTGGGGCTAATAAACCGTGGCCATGAGTTAATTCCTCCCACTGTTTGTTTTCTCAAAAACTTTTGTTGGAGCGTAGTCATTTCCTGTGTTGCCTGTGACAGATTTCATGCTAGACTAACAACAGAGAGTAGTTTCTATGGAGACCATGCAACTGGGAAAGCCTACAATATTTACTCACTGGCCGTTCACAGGAAAGTGAATCTTGATTGTGAAGTTGGCGGTGGCCATGGCTGGACATCTGAAGCTATGGTGGGAGAATTCTATGGGCTGATACACTGATGCACCAGTGTGTTTGTCACTTTCCCATTACTGTGGGCAAACACCTGGCAAACGCAACTTAAGGGAGGAAGGTTTTACTGTGTCTTACAGTATGAAGGGGCATGGTGGGAGGAGCTTAAGGCAGCTGGCCACCTTTCATCCACAGCCAGGAAGCAGAAAGAGATGAAGGCTTATGCTCAGTTCTATTCCTTATTAAATTGTCACTTTATTTATGTGTGTGCATGTGTTTATATGTATGTCTCTATGAGTGTGTGTGCACATACATGTGTATGTGGGTGCCCTGGGGGGCAGGAGATGATTTCTGATCCCTTGGAGCCAGTTATGGAGATTTGTTAGCTGCTGGACGTATGTCTTGGGATTGAAACACTGGTTCTCATAGTTGAGCCACAAGTACTTACAATAGCTGAACCATTTCTGTAGCCTGTGACTTCTTTTTCTTATTCAGTCAATGCCCCAAGCAGATAGGATGAAGCTGCTCACATCCAGGGTTGGTCTTCCTACTTGGTTAACTCTTTCTGGAAACACCCAGAAGAGACACACCCAGATGTATTTTCCTGGTGATTCTAACCCCTGCCACGCTGGCCATCAGGGTCTCTGGTAGGTCCTGGCTCTTGTGAACGCTCCCTGCATCAGCATCTTCTATTTAGTTCTCGGCCTTGGGAGATGATACAGTCAGTAACTACGGTGTTCCATCACCTGAGGAATCCTAAAGATGCTCTTCACACATATCTAGTTAGAGAGCATACATTTGTCCCGTTTCTTATTCCCAGGGCAGGTAAGCAAGTAAGTTTGACTTTGTGCTTTCTAGCCATGGGAAGTGTTTCTGAGCCCCTAGCTCATGAGGCATTAGGAAATGAAAGACTTCTATTGACACGTTCCCATCTTTTATTTCTTCAGCCAGATCTGTGTTTTCTGCTGGTATCTGGTCGGACAGGGAGTCCCGTGGGCCGACCTGTGAAGTACAACATCGTGGGAGTGGGGAACCTGATTGGTCCCCAGGTTTACATCACCACCAGTGGGGCTGTCTACATCCTGTTTGGCTTTGGTAAGAAGCAAGACTGGGCGGTGGTGGTGGTGGCACATGCCTTTAATCCCAGCACTCGGGAGGCAGAGGCAGGCAGATCTCTGGGAGTTTGAGGCCAGCCTGGGCTACTGAGTGAGTTCCAGGACAGGCTCCAAAGCTACACAGAGAAACCCTGTCTCGAAAAAACAAAACAAAACAAACAAACAAAAAGAAGCAAGGCTGATTTTGGCTTCTGCTCCCCTGATGTCAGTGGCTAGGCTTCCTGTGAGGTAGGGCGAACACACACTGGGATTGCTGGTGTTATGAATTATTGAATGGGGGTACCTGCATGTGGTTCTGCTGATGCCCCAGAGGGGATCGTATATGTCTCTGGGCCCTGCCCACATGAGCGGCTGTGGAGGAATGAACAACAGGCCTTGACTGGACTTCTGCCTTGCCTAGACAGCTGGAGCCTGAAAGAGGCAGCTGGGGAATGCCATGCCAAGGAAAAGGACTTTTCCTTGGCTCTTAAAACAATGGTGAACCAATGCATGGCGGGAGGTGATTCCCTAACCTCCCTCCATACCAATGGCCTGAACCCTACCCATGATGCCTTTAGTAAAAATAGTGGCAAGGTCGTATGACCTGCCTGTTTTGACCTTAGTCAAGATGGCAGCTAGACCATATGGTTGCCCTTATTCAAGATGGTGCTGCCTGATCACGTGTTGCCCCTATCAAATATGGCGCTTGACCACATGTTTGTGTGGGTTTTTTTTTTTTTTTTGAAAATAAATTGAGCAGATAAGAAAACAGATAAATTGAAACATTTAAAAGTCAGTCAGAAAGAAATACAGATGGCCATATCAATCATTCATTTCCATTTGCACATAGGAAATAGACTTTGTGAAAGAAAGACAGAGAAGTAGCAGTGCAGCCGGGCAGGAGAGCAGCCTCAGGGGAATGAACCCAAGCCATGGGTCAGTGGCCGTGGTGAGGGAGGGGTGCCATAGTGCATTTTTCCACAATGAGGTATAAGGCCCCGAGGACTGATCTCTGGCATCCCAGAGGGTCAGCAAGGGCCAACTATTGAAAGGTACAGGCTGTTTCCATATGCCATCATATAGGGACAGGGGCCAAAGGGCTATGAGCCCAAAAGACATGTGGTACCAGCAAGCAAAATGAGACAAATCTGACCTCTAGCATCCCAGAGAGTCAGTGAGGAGTGGGCACAAGCCATCTCCATATGCCATCACATAGGGACCGGGCTGAGGGGCTTAGAGCCCAAAAGACATGTGGGCTCTAAGTGAGCAAAACAAGATGAATCCTCACTTGTGGGAAAATGTCAGAAGGGAAGGAAGGAATCTTACTGATCTGGTAGGGTGAAGAGTCCCCCGGTGGTGCTCCAGCCTGAAAAATGGTGGATCGTACAGGATCCCAGAGCTCCTCAGACTGCCGCGGGCAGGAGAAAGCAGTGGGATTGCCTGGTGATGTTGGGCAGCAATGTTATGAATTATTGCATGGGGTGGGGGACAGGGGGACCCTGAGGGTATCCCTCACATGCAGGGAAACCTGCTGGACAGATGCAGTGGCAGGCTGGGCAGATGCACACAATGAGGGCGTGGTGACGGTGGTAGCCAGTAATTCACAACCCAGATGCTGCATCCATTTAGAGAGTTTATTATAATAGAGAGATGAGGAGAAAGATAGGAAAGAGAGAGAGAGAAGGAGAGAGAGAGAGAGAGAGAGAGAGAGAGAGAGAGAGAGAGAGAGAGAGAGAGAGGTCAAAGGTGCACACCTCATGGGAGGAAAAGTGGAAGAGAGAGAGAGGAAGGGGAGGAGTTTTTCCTTAGAATGAGACTTTTATGTCAGGACGCAGGGTGGCGCCAAGGTGGGATTTGAAGAGGCGGATCAGAATATTAACAGCTGGTGTTGGCTCTTTCCATCTCCTGTTATAGGGCCTCTCACCTGTTGCAGGTCACTAACTCTGCTTTCCCTTGACGCCTTCTCTGGAGAGGGGACTGCCCTGCATGGGCTTGGTCACTTCCCCATCACTCCAAATGGGACCAGCTGGAGTGGGCTCTATTGGACCCATGTGACCTGCTCTGTGTCTTCTGCCTAGAACCCCACCCCACCCTGGGATAGGCTGGGTAGTTCTTTTAAACCCAGCTTCTCAGTGTTGACTCTTCCTGTGGCACTAGGAAATATACAAGCTGTGGCCCTGCGGGACATTTTTGTTCAGGCCCAAAATCGAGACAGCTCGCCACCCTCTCTGCAGATAGAAGAGCCGGAATGGGAGAAGCGCAGATCTGTCAACCTTTCCGAGCTCATCGATGTTTACAGGTATGGCTGAGCTCTGTCTTTGGCCATAGGGAGGTCTTCTGGAGACTCATGCACCATGGAGTCTCTGAGTTTGGGTTGACTAGTGACTAAGGGTGGGGACTGGTGACTAAGGTTTGGAGAAGGTGGAGCTAACCTTGAAATATCAACTCCTTCCTGATCTGCTTAACACAGTGAGAAATTCTCTTCTCTTGGTCGTGGAATGTTGGGTCTATGTATCAATGACCAGGGTGTACTTCATAACTGGATTACAAGGATGGATATTAACTTACGGGTCTAAATTAGAACTTCTAAGGGGATATATTTATAAAATGATTGTGAAGCTCTATGAAAGCTTTGACCTACTCTTTCCTGTATTTTTCTCCCAGTTGAAGAATTATTTTGACAGAAGCAAGAATAGAAGGCATGAAATCTTGTTTTGTTTTTTAACTTTTATTTATTTCTCAACTAAAGCATGTGGTTGTCATATGAAATGATCTGCATATTTTAACTACATAGCTCTCGGCTTGGGTAATAATTGTATTATTCTTTTCTGTCAGAATCTCAGGTATTATGTCTCAGTGAATTTGATGGAGTGATTCCAGCAGTGGAGAAAAAGAAATAATTTGATGAAGTAAATGCCAAGAGTTAGTGTCCAAGTTTAGTGACAGTTTCAGGCCACCTGCTCCCATCTCTGTCCTCTGTGCCATTGTCCTTGCCTCTGTTACTGTCCCCAGAGGGCACAGGCAGAGAGGTATCACACCACAGCTTTGCTTTGTGAGCTCTCTTTGAATGACAAAGTGCCCCACTTGACAAGACAATGGTGGGAAATGGATACAAGAGTAGAGTGGGGTACACATCCTGGGGTGTCCACATTTGTGGATTCACCCCCTCCTAACTGAAAATATTTGGAAAAAATTGTGTCTGTACCCACCATACAGACTGGTTTTCTTGTCACTGTTCCCTAATGCATGGAGCATTGCGACTATTTTCGTTGTCCTCCGAGTCATAACTAATCTAGAGGTGGTTTACACTACATAGGAGGATATAGGTTGTATGGAGACACTGGATCATTCTGTGTAGGGGTGATGAACGTGTGAGTTTGGTATCTGCAGCAGGTCCTGGCCCTGGTTTCCACATAGATAGACACTAAGGGACGACTGTATATGCAAGCAGACACACAATGGGAATCGAATGTCAAAAATAAATGACTGTGGGACTCTCGGCCACAGCAGAGACTAACTGTTGGGTTTTTTGTTCAATATAGTGATGGGGTTGAGCTTCTCCAGTTGGTGAAGGCCCCGGATGCCAACTGCAGCAGCCTCTTGATCACAACCAGACAAGGCCTGGTCCTGCTTCGGGGACAAGATCTTACGCCGCTCTGGAAATTGAGCCTGCAAGGCCTGCGCAGGTTTGCAGAGTGCCCTTCAGCGTGGCTGCTGTTCTGAGCAGCTTTCCCATTTGACAGCGTGCCTAGAACAATGGCTTGTTACCCATGGCTGGTGCAAGGGAAGCGGGGGAGGGGGCGCCCGTTCCTTTTCCGTATGTGCTGTTTATTGTTTCCGTGTCTGTTTGCAGCCAGCCCACTCCTGGGTATTTCACTGATGACCAGACATTGGACTTCCTTCTGCAGACACAGGATGGAGTTGGGATGAAGAAGGTAAACCATGGGCCTCCAATCAATCAGAACATATGGAAAGAATGGGCTGTGGGTCCAGCCCTGGGGGAGACACTGGGTAGAGTAAGAGCCTCCCTTGAGACCGCCAGTCTAGGGAGTGAATACAGTGGAAGCTCACAGCTCATCGCTATAATCTGCCGCTCTCCTAGACTAATGTTACGTTCGTTCTGGAGCCTGTACTTAAGTTAGGTGGGAGGAACCATCTTACAAAGCTGGGTGGGGAAAGGTGGGTATAAATGAGCATCACATTTCAGTGCAGGCAAACTAAGGTTTCGGAGGAGGCAGCTCTCAGCGGTGGCTGGTGTTATGGAAGGCTTTTGATAAAGGAAGGAACTATGGGTAGGGCCGTCAAGGTTGAATTTATGTGACTGGAAAAGAATACCAGGTCAGGAACACTAAGACCAGAGCTCAGAAATGGAAATGCTACAGCACGTTCAGGGATGCTGAACCATGGGCTCCACATTTTGGTTTTCCTGTAAGACTGTGTGTTATGAGGATGTAATACTTTGATAGACTATTTTCATTCATTTAATCTTAAAGGCAGAATTATAGAGTTTTAATTTTTAAAAAATAATTGGCCTAGATTTTTGTTGGCCATCAAAGCTAACCAACCATGGGCTGAAAATAGGCTAAAAAACTGTAACACTTACAGACTTTTTTCTTACTGGTCCTTTATTTATTTATATTTATTTTATTTTTTAATGCCGAATGCTGTTTATTGAAGGAGGGAAGAGGTCTTAAATACAGGCTTACAGCACAATGGGAGAACCCCGGAGGGCAGAAGTTCGCTACCGATGTTTTACAATCTTGCATCTAAGCTGTTAACGCCCATTATGCAGGATATACATACAAGGAGCTTCCCTTAACTTACTGTTCCTTAAATAGCACAGCAACAACTATTGATATAGTTATTGTATTGTGATAGGTATTGTAGGTAACCTAGAGAGTGATTTAAGTGTTCGTGAGGACGTGTGTAGCTACACGCAAATGCTTGCCCTTTCTATGAGGGACTGGGCATCTGCTGGTTCTGAGTGTCGGGTGTTGGAGCTCAGGGCCTCACAAACATGGAGGAGGAGGAATATCTGCTATCTGGGATGTTTTTCTTCCTTTTTGTTTCTGTGTGTTTTCTTGTCCGGCTGCTCTCCTAACGGCTGGCTCTCTCCTTTGCCTTCTCATTTGCAGATGATGGTGGTGGATGGTGGCTCTGGCTCCATCGTCTGGAGTCACAGTATCCCGTGTCACATGAAGGAAACACCAACCACTTCTGCAATTACTTCAGACCAGAAGTCTGTGTTCCTCTTCTGGGCAGAAGCGCTGACTGCTGCTTCTCTCAATTCTGTGAGTGAGAGCAGGATGGAGGGGTTGAGGGTGGGGGTGGGACTGTCCCCTTCTCTGTCACATAGACATGGCTGTAGCCCTACGGGGCTGATGTGGTTCCCAGGGTGTTTTCTGATCAGTCACCTTCTAAGGGGTTGAGTGGAAACAGATTTGTGCTCCTGAGCTGGGCTTCCCGTTTGCCTTTCCATCAACAATGTGAGCTACCAACAGTGAGGGGGCCGGATGAGAAAATCCCTCGAGACACCATGTTCAGAGCCACAGGCCAGTATGTTGCTGTGGAAGAGCAGAGATCATGATGATTGGCCTGGTTGGGCAGGCTCTAACGCAAGTAAACTTAGCTAGTAGAGAGCATGAGAGGGTAGAGAGAACTCTGGGAGCCAGACGCTGAAGAGGCTGAAGCTGAAGGGTCCGTGGGGGTCATGGGAAGGAGTCCTGACACCTTGAAGGCTGATGTACTGTTCTTGTGTCACTCTGAAGTGTCTGGGTGGGGTGGGTGAGGCCGGGGTTTATGAGGTAGAGTTGCTCCCTAGAATAGGCGCCAGGACTCAGCGGTAAGCATGGCCGACTTAGACCAGTGAAGTACATTATGCCTCACTTGCTGTGTGCCAGATGATGGAATTCCCTCTGTGGGGATTTGAACATATCAGGACGTAGCTCTGAACCTCTGGAGAAGGCAAGTGACCCAGGGTTGGGGAAGCATGGTGGACACACGGTTCTGAGTTTGTCAACCAGGCCCTCCCAACAAGTTACTCTTCGGAGCCTTCTGGTTTTGCTTTGTTTTGTGTTTAGCCTCCTGTTCTTACTCACAAAGATGCTGTCTAGCCCCTCATTTTGATGACCAGATTTACCCCAGAGGGGTTATGGTTGCCCTCAGTCCTGGTTTCCTCATAGAGTAATGTGGAGATTGGACCAGATGGCTTTCAAAATGGGCTTCTGTGGGTAGCCCCAAGAGTGACTTACTAACAGGGAGGTGCACATGAGAACTGTAGGTGGGGCTGGCAAGGCCTGTGAGTTGCTCGCCACCAAGGTTGACAACCTGAGTTTGCTCCTTGGGACCCACATGGTGGGAGGGAAAAACTGACATCAACCCCTCACTCCCAGCCAGTTGTCCTTCGACCTGTACATGTACACGGTGGCTCATGTGCCCATGCACGTATGCACACGTACACAAAATAAATAACTGGGTAGGTGCACAAAAGAAGGGAGATACTGATTTTGCCTGGGGCGATTAGGGAGTGTTCCATGAAAGAGCTTGGATGCAAGTTGTGGCTGAGGGTGGGAAGTCGTTGATGTGCAGAAGAGCGGGAGAGAGGGTGGTAAGCAGTCTGAGGAGGAATAGCATGATTGGCAGTGGCTTTTTAAGGAACCGGAAGGAAGCGTGAGCGGATTGAGAATGCCATGGGGGTAGGCAGCAAATGAGTGCAGTCAGAGCGTAGAAAAGTGAAGTGAGGAACTTGAGCTCCTTTGTTCTGTTTTTATTTTTTGAGACGGGGTCTCTCCACATAGCCCTGGCTGTTCAGGAACTCACTGCGTAGACCAGGCTGGCCTTGAACTCACAGAGATCCACCTGTCTCTGTCTCCCGAGTGCTGGTGTCATAACACCTGCCTTGAAAAGCTTTGACTTTGATGCTAAGACCTCTGGGCTCTGTTCTGTAGGCGGCGAGGAAAGTCATTTCCATGGCATGTTAGTTGGGCCTAAGGTCTGTCCCTCCAAACACCGGCCTGTGGAAATGGCCTCCTCTGCCTTAAGGGCTGGCTCACGGTGGGAGTGAGGGTGCAAGACTGTTCTGGCTTCTCCTCTCAGAAGGGCTGCTGCTCACACTGAGTCCTGGCAGGTGGGGCCAGCAGTCTGTACTTTAACAAGTGTGTGGCTGCCACACGTGGCTGCCACAGCCCATCCCCACTCAGAAGGCGTGTTGATAAAGCCCCCTTGTGGGCGTTTCTCCTGCTGCAGGGATTCGGAGACTCAACTCTCAGACCTCAGCAGTTTTTAGTTGTAATTGGTGATTTTCTTCTGTCTAGTCAAAAGGTCTGTTTCTCTGGGGAACTGATAGGCTTTTCTATGTTCAGCCTGATGCCTGCCGTTGGCATCAAACCCGGGGCTTTATACATGCTAGGCGAGCACTACCATGGAGTTACGTCCCCGGCCCCTCGCAGTTGGTTTTGACATCCAATGGAAGGAAATGTATTTGGCCACGGTTCAGAAATAGCTTTTCTCTCTACACAGCCTTACCTGCTGTAAGGATGAATGAGAGTCCCAGCTCAGCCCTGCCGTAGGTGGAGGAGAGGTCTCCACAGACATGCTTCTCCTCCCCCTCCTGCTTCCCTTCCCTGCTTCTCCCTTTCTGCAAACATTTGCAAGTATCCCCTCCTCCCCTCTTTCGCTCTCCCCTTCCTTCCTTCTCGTTCTCCCTTACATTTTTGACTATAGATAGTGGTTTGGAGTTAGGGGTGAACCTGTGTTTTGAACTCATGTCCCCGTAGTTGGGATCAGGAGTGAGCTGACTGGAACCTTCTGCTGTGCTCCCTTTCCCTCACGGTGTCATGTGGAATGTAGTCACCCGTGATCTCCTTTTCTGTGACTGTTGCCAGGATGACCCCCCAGGAGCCGAGCCTCCTGGCCTTTACCACCTTTACCTCCTGCATCCAACCTTCCCGTCTATCCTCCTGGACCTGACCAACACCACTGGCATAGTGACAGCTTCGGAGGGTGAGTCCCCAGACATCAGAGAGTGTATCTTGACGGTGTGAAAACGTTGCCCACCAAGGGAAGGATAAGGGCTTTTCAAGAGACAGTAGTCATTTTCCTTGGTGTCCCTGGAACCAGGGGCATTGCTGGAGAGTTTCCTCCGGGTTATAGTGCCAGGCTTCTAGGGCAAGATTCTCTGAATGTGCTGAAAGCTGAGCACACCCATCTCACCCCAGGAGAGCTCCGGGGGTGATGATGGAGCCTCAGCTGTGTGCCAGCTACCTTTAGGGCTTAGGGTTGGAAGTTAACTGTGTGGGATGTAATGGAAATGTTTCTTTCAGGGCATTGATTTAGTGATTACTTATGTGAATATTAAACATACAAATTGGAGTCAACAGAAAGACCAAAGGAGAAAAATTACCCATAACCATTTGGAAATATTCTGCTCTACTGTGTGTCTAAGTGATACTCTAAAGCAAACTTGAAGGCATATATTAGAGAAACCTCATTCAGCAACCCAGAGCCTGGAAACCAAGCCACTGCCGTTTGCTAGTCTCAGCTAGTCTCAGCTGGGCGGAGACTAGGTTAGCCACATCTCCCTTGTCTCGTTTTCTTTTTCAGCCAGGGAGGGGGCAATTAGACAGGTCTCATCTAGCCCAGGTTGACCTCAAACTGGCTCTGTAGCTGAGGATGGCCTTGAACACCTAACCCTCCTGCCTTTCCCTCCCAAATGCTTGATTACAGGTGTGTACCCTGACACCAAGCTCCTTCATGCCTTTCCACACTCTCGCCTCTGTGGACTTGCTCCTTACAGCTCTTTGCCTTGAGCTGAAGTGGTGCTGTGGCTCTGTGTCATGGGCTTCACGGGGGAGAAAAGCTGATCTGGAACTTGCAGGCTGTCAATTGATTGGGGAATTGAGGCGGCGGTGGGGGGTGGGGGGGTGGGGGGGTGAGAGGGTTTAGAGGGAGTGGGGAGTATCTGCTTACAAAACCATGTAAGAGATATAATGAACTGTTTTGCAACATTTGCATAAAACATTATTCAGGGAACATTAAATAATGGTGAAGTAAATAAGAATCTCATGGGCTGGAGATGTAGCTCAGTTGGCAGAGTATCTGCCTAGCATGCATGAGGCCCTGGGGAGGTAGAGGCAAGAGAGTCAAATGTTGTATATTTGTTTGTGTTCTGACAAATAAAGCTTGCCTGGAGATCAGAGGGTGGAGCTAGCCACTAGTTAACCACAGAGGCCAGACAGTGGTGGTACATGCTTTTAATCCCAGAATTTAGGAGGAGGAAGCAGGAAGATCAGGAGTTCAAGGCCACCCTGGGCTACATGAGATTGAACCAGTCTAAAAGAGAAACAGAGCCAGGAGGTGGTGGTGCATGCCTGTAATCCCAGGACTTGGGAGGCTCATGCCTTTAGTCCCAGCACTAGGGAGGTGGAGACAGGAATATAAGGCGGGTGGAGACAGGATCTCCCGCTCATTCAGTCTGAGGATTCGTAGCAACAGGACTCCTCATTCAGTCTGAGATTTCGTAGAGGTAAGAAGTCTCTGGTGGCTGCTGCTCTGCTTCTCTGATCTTTCAGCTTTCACCTTCAATATCTGACTCCGGGTTTTTATTGTTAAGACTAATTAAGATCGCACTTCCGTCAAAGACTCGTCCTTGGCTACAGAACCAGTTCAAGGCTGCTTACCAAGCTAGGCCAATACTTGTCTCTAGTCATCTACATGACCTAAAGAGTCAAGCGGCCCAGTTACCTAAAACCCTGGGCAGAGGAAAAGAGGAGGCAGGGTGAGCTGAAACCGATGTATTGGAGGAGAACTGGCTGAAGCTCATAGTGCAGCATATTAAAGGGAGCTCCGGTGAGCCTGCTGAGTAGTTGTATGGGAGAGAAAAAGGATTCTCATGCCCCTTTTAGACAACCGCTGTTAATTCCTATTTTAAAGACAAAGACCTCGTGCCTATAATCTGAATCCAAGAGATGATGAGCATGCTGCTGACTTCTTTGTTGTGAACTGCTTCTTGTCATTGTCCTTCCTCAGTTGGAATCAACGACATCTGGAAAGATGCCTTTTATGTCACTAGGACGACAAGGATGAGCCCGGATGGACACCCCACCTCTCTGGTGATCAGCAAGCTTAGCCTGCGCTGGGCACTCATGGAAGGCCAGATGGTCCAGCTGGAGGAGACCACCCCTAAAATTGGCCGTGGGGAGCTGAGGAGATTCCTCTCTAGAATCAAGTTTGTTGATTCTCCCTACCAGGTGACTGGCTTCTGGGATGGTTGGTTAATTTTTAATTAAAAAGAATTTTATTACATTTATGTGTGTGGGCCCACATGGATCCTGACACATGTGTAGAGATTGGTGGACGACTGCTAAAATTAGTTTTCTTCTGTGTGGGTCCTGGGGATTGAACTCAGGTTGTCAGGCATTTAGAAATGTGGGATTGTGGTTTTTAAAACATCCCAATGACGGGAGGGGGTAGATGTTTCTGGCATTTTCTGGGTAGGGACTAATGATGTTACTATCCATGCAGATATGGTTTACAGAACCTACATTACCTAGCAGTTATCTTGCTAAAAATGCCAGCCCTTTTCCCTAAAAAGTCCTTGGGCCAAGTTTGAAGTTGAAGAGCTTATCACTGAAAGGACACAAGTCCTTGGGGCTCATAAACTATTGGAGCTAAACTGGAGGACTGGGAAGTGAAGCGTTCTGATGTTTAAATTTCCCATTTCTTTGGAAATCCTATGTAAAGGGGATAATAATGGTCATTTTCCCACAGATCTAGTACAGTGGAATCCAGATTCAGAAGAACCATGCAGAGCGGCTCCTGTCCCTCCTGTCAGTTCTCTGGAGAGGTGACGACTTCAGGGTCATGCAGCACTTGGGGATCACTGCCCTCTGGCAGCCTGCTGGGGCTGTGTGATCACGCAGCATGATCTGCTTAGCTGCGATATCTCACGACCCTCCCATCCCTGCACTAACCCCTCCTCCTGGGAACTCTGTGTGGATAGTTTGGAAATGTGAATCTTATAGCAGTTGTTTTTTTTTTTTTTTTTTTTTTTTTTTTTTGTACCTCTAATTTATAAACCCTTGCTGGGAAATCCAATGGCCTACAAGCAAGGATATATGTTGTTTTGCATTAGGCCATGTATATGTGTGTGTGTGTGTGTGTGTGTGTGTGTGTGTGTGTGTGTGTGTGTGTGTGTGTGTATGTGTGTATGTGTGTGTGTATGTGTGTATGTGTGTGTGTATGTGTGTATGTGTGTGTGTATGTGTGTGTGTGTGTGTGTGTTCAGTGTTGTACAAAATTATTTTTGAGATATGCCCCAAGCTTCAGGGATTCCATTCCTTGTCCTCTTGAAACTCACCTGATTTGGTCATCCTGGTGTGTCTGGATGGCCTACCTCTGAGGTCCTGAGGGTCCCTCACCACTGTTTTCCCTCTGCCTATATTATGGTTCCTTCTCTAGACATCAGTGAGCGACACTGGAAGTTATGATGAGGCTAGTTATCCAGAATGTTCATCCTTCCATCTCCTAGACCCTCTACCTCTGTTAAGTGGTCATGAGAAAATGTTTCTATCACAGGGAGCGAGGGAGATAGTTTCCGTGGCTCCTGACCAGGTCCTTACATCGTGCCCTGTGAACTTTTGATGGTTCTGCAGCTACGAGCTTTGATTCTACAGTCATGACAGAAGGGTTTGCATGCGTGTTGGCCTCGGCTTAAAGGTTGGAAGTCCCATGGCCTTGTCCTGGCTGCAGCTCCACTCTGCTTGCTCTGAGACTTCTCTAGGGCATCTCCATCTCCTCCTCCCTTGCCTCCTCTTCTATTCAGGGATCTGTTTCTGGACTGTTGATTCTTGGGTCCAGTATGCAACCCCTCTGCCCTGTGTTCTTCCTTCCTCGTAGAGCCTTTGAAGCATTATATTGAGAAAATGCTCATGTAAATACTGTAACTTTTATAATGATCAAGTTCTTTCAGATTATCTCCATTCTTCTGCCTTCTATGTAAATGTGTGACCTCTTTTAGTTTGGGATCTTCCAAATGTCTGTATCATTGTCTGATAAGCCATGTGTTCCCATGGTGGCCAATGAAAATGTACTTCTCTTTTTGAGTGAAAACCAGATATTCTCCTCACTTGGGTTTGTATCATGTTAGCTTGTGTTAATAAAGAGATCCCAGAAAACTAGATTCTAGATTTAAGGGGCCATCTATGAATTGCCCACAATAGTTGTTATGGATAACAGGAAGTTGGTACTCAGTCCATCCTGCAGATTGGCCTCACCAGACTTGTTGGTACCTCTGCCATAAGACCCTAGAAGCATATTTGGGAGTTGTATGGGACCAGGTTGACTTTGGGAAGAGGGGACAATGAATAGGCTCCCCTAGAATCTGGAGGTGATTCTAGGGTCATTTCTAGTAAGTTGAATTTCTGTTAGTAAAAGGGCTGAATATAGTGTGTAGTCTTCTCAGAACTAGATTATAGTGGACCAAATTGTCAAGTGGGTGGTAGCCTGGTTGAGCTCCCAGAACAATGTGTTCTTGCAGTGTTGATATTCTGAGACGCCTGCCTGTGTAGGAAGGAACATGATACAGAGATGCTTGATGGAGACCTGTCTGGGTTTACTCTTTGGAGCTGAAGGCTGTTTATGCTGGCTGAGTCTCAGATAAGAGGAAGCCACAAAGACAGCATCACTGAATTCTCCTTGGTATTTTGGTAAATAACATCCTAACTTCTCCTTACTAGAAGTGTGAATCTCTTCCTTGCTAAATGCAATGGAAACTCTAGGCTTGCTTCCTGTTGCAGCTGGTACAGAAAGGTAGCTGAGGGTTGAGGTGGCTTCCGCTGGCCAACGTGAGTGCTGGCCTCCTGCCAAATGCCCCCCTACCCTTCCTCCTCCTTGCAGCGAGTCACCCAGATATCCAAGGCAGAAATTGCTCAACATGGGGTGGCCCACAAATCAGCCTGACCACTACTTAGAAGTAATGCCTTCTACAATGCAAGGGTCTCCCCTCCTCTCAACCTCTCCTTTTCTTCCTTTATAAGCCCTCTCCTCTGCCCTGCACAACATCCTCACCACTCCCCAAACATATGGTGTGGTGATACCAGCCAACCCCAGGAATGTGAATTGCTGTCCACACTACCTGTGTTGAGGAGGAGCCAGCGGGTCTGTAGCCAGAAAGCACTGTTTAAAATGTGAACTGTTACGGAACAAATAAATGCTATGTACAGGAATATACATGTGTGGTCTTCTTTCTTGCTAACCAAAATGGTTTACTTCCCTTATAGAAAAGAAAGGTGAGTAGATGGATGGCATCCTCTGTGGAGGGAACAGTGTGGACAGTTTCTGAGATGAAGGAACAGTGGGTACCCAGAGAGGAACGTCGGCCTCAGTCGCATTCATGGAGAAGCTCCTGTGTGAGTCTCCTCTGGGGACTTGGGAGGCCAATTCTAGGAGTGAGCCTGATCCTATAGGCTATAGAAACCTAAAATCAGACTACCTTCCAATGGCTTCTAGGATCATATTTAATAATGTTTTTACTTCTAAAATTGTATTATTATTGTGTGTGCCATGGCGTGTGTGTGGATGTGTGTGGATGTGTGTGGATGTGTGTGGGCAGCTTTTGGAGTCAGTTTTCTCCCACTGTAGGACCCCGGCATCAAGTTCAGGCTGTGGGATTAGTGCAGCAAGCACTTTACCTGCTGTGCCGTTTACCCAGCCTATGCTTCGTCAATTCTTATTGATAATTCTTATTGTTTTGAAACTTATTTTATGCATATGAGTTATTTGCCTGTATGTCTGTGTGTCCCATGTGTGTGCAGTGTCTGTGGAGGCTGGGAGAGGGCAGATTCCCTGCAGCTGGATTTACAGTTGTTAGCCACCATGCATGTTAGGAACCGGAAGTCAAGTGCAGGACCTCTGGAAGAGAAGCCGGCTCCCTAGCCAGCCCGTGTAATCGCACTTTGCTAGCTATTATGAGAACTCAAGACACTAGTATGCAAGTGTGCAAGGTGTCTTCAGCAGTGTTTCCGTCTTCCTGTGTATGATCCAGAAAATTCCCAGTGCACCATAGGTAAGCCACCATCAGTTTGCTCACCTGTTTCTTCAGCTTCTGGACAGCTGACTAGCTTCATCGGACCCTTAAAGGTAGAACTGTGTTTAACTTGCCTTTTTATCTGCATCGTATGGTCTAGAACCAGCCTTGAGCAGTCAGTGAAGAGACGGGGATTCTGGATACATGAGATGGGACAGGGGTAGAGCAAAGCAGTGTCAAGGGAAACGGGGCAGAGCAATGTCCTGGAGATGACTTAAGGTTCTCTTGTTCTAAACACAAGGCTCAAGAGACACTTTTGCTTAAGCGGACGTTAATAAGCAAACACAGATGGTAGGGTTAGCCTGCTCCCCAAACCCACTTGTCTTCTAACACTGCTCTTCTGTGGATGACCCAGCCACTTCTTCTAGCTCCTGGCTGGTCCCTTGTTGAAATTCCTTGTCTTGTAGCGCTGAGTAGAGGTCGATACCTTCGGAGACGGAGCGGATGGGATGGTCGGGGTACTGCTGGCAGCTGGTCAAAGGGTCCCCTGAGTGGGCTGCGCATGGTGTCTGGGGAAGGAAACAGCGGTGGTGCTGTGCGAGGCAGCTGGGGTTGGGGTCGAAGCTCTTCCTGTGCCTGCACTGGAACTCCAGCACCATCCTGGTGTATGTGTTGAAGGTGGTGACAGCCGATGCCATGCAGCAGGTGAAGGAAACCCAGGCCGTGCTAGGGGCAAGCACAGAGAAGGGACAGTAAGAGTCTGACTTGATGGAAAGAAAAGTGCCGTCTGCTCTGCCACAGACCGGGCACTGTCTTCTGGGGGACTTAGGAATCTGAGTGTGTTGCCTTCTACCGTGCTTCTGTGAGGGACAGACCAGGGGACTCCATCTGCCTTAGTTTTGTAGCCAATGCGTTTGATCCCATCGGCTGTCACCGCCACGCTCTTCTGTGACTCGTGTGTGGTGTGTTTATTTACCCCTGTAAAGTCTAGATCCCACAGAGCTCCAGCTCTCTTCGGTGGGGTGAGCATGAACTGATGCGCCCCTCACCCCTTCTTTCTTCCCTTCATTCACTTTGCCCTGACTCTGAGCCATCATCCCTCTTCTGCCCAACATTCTTTCGAACTTAATTGTCCCCAAAGTTGAGCCTTCGATAGTCATTCATGAAAACATTTTACTACAGATCTGAAGGCATCACACTTTGCTCTAGTGGAATTTGATTATTACGAAGACTGTGGTTCTTGGCACGGGGTGGGGGGTGGTGAACAGTGGGAACCGGATGTACATAGAAGCTGGGGGAATCTGAGGAAGAAAAAAGCACCCTAGGGAACTACGTCAAACACATTCCTAAAGACCTGGGAAGTCGAACCCCTAAATAGCTCTGTCCTTCTGTGAAGCCCAGGAAACAGGGTTTGTGAAGGTAGGAGGGGGTGCTTGGAGGTCAAAGGTTGTTGAGAGCCAGGCCAAGGACTGTCCTGCAGGTTCCTGTTTGTTGCCTGACAGTAGATCCAGATGTGATCATTCTAGGGAGACTGTCAGCCTGAGCCCCAAAGTTCCCTGTTTCTAGTGTGTGTGTGTGTGTGTGTGTGTGTGTGTGTGTGTGTGTGTGTGTGTGTGTGTGTACAGCCTCTTGAGTCCTTAACTTCCCCCTTGGTTGAGGCAGTTGTCTCTTTTTATTGTTGTTGTTGACACTGAGTACACAGGCTAACTGGCCTATGAGCTTCCAGGAATTCTGGGTCCCTGCCTCCCATCTCTCCATGCTGCTGGGATCATAGATGCCTGCACTACTGTGTGCTGCGGCTTCTACTCGGGCCCCAGAGATTTGAACTCGGGTCCTTATGCTTCTACGGCGGTTACTTTACCCACTGAGCCATCTCACCAACCCAGACCTACCCTTCTAATGCCAAGAAAGATTTGAAGTGGGCCAAGGTGAGGCCTGACTGGCCGGGGAAACCAGCACAGCTGACATGGGTTGGTGGGTGGATTAGAGTGCTCGATGCAAAGCGTGTACTGCAGCGTGAGGAAGTGGGTGGGACCAGAAGTGGGAGAGCCTCCCTCCTGTGTGCCTGCATCCGGATGGAAATGTGAGCCCAGCATAGTGTGTTTTCTGTGCCATTAACAATGCCCTCAGCACTTATCTGAGACAGTTTATGTGAATCTGGGTCATTAGCTTTGCAGTGAGTAGAGAATGTTCCTCCAGGGAGACAGAAAAGGAATAAAACCCAAAACGCCAAAAACAAAAACCCAGAGCTAGAGTAGGTGTGTATTCAGGAAAAGTGAGAAGGAACTCTTGAAGGTGGAAGGGACTCCAAGGAAAGAGTATTTGAGACTCAAACAAAGGAAATGCTCTGCTTGAATGTGTTGAAGGTGGCACTCCTGTAATCCCAGCACTTGAGAAGTAAAGGCAGGAGAATCAGGAGTTCAGGGCCAGCCTTGGCTACATAGTTAGAGGCTAGCATGGACTATATGATTTCTTTAACCCCGCCCCCCCCTCCCAAGGACATTTAAAATGATGAAGTCCTTGGTTTTGAAGGTTAGGCTGGGGAAGCAAACAGTGGTGATGTGTGAGGCAGTGGGCTGGCGCTGGTTGAAGCTCTTCCTGTGTCTACACTTGGAACTCCAGCACTGTCCTCATGCATGTGTTGAAGGTGAGGACCGCTGATGCCAAGCAGCTTTTGTTTGTTTGTTTGTTTTGTGTTTTCGTTTTTAGAGACAGGGTTTCTCTGCGAAACAGTCCTGGCTGTCCTGGAACTCCCTCTGTAGACCAGGCTGGCCTTGAACTCACAGAGATCCGCCTGCCTCTGTCTCCTGAGTGCTGAGATTAAAGGTGTGTGCCACCACCACCGCCCAGCTGCAGTTTTATTTCTAGCAGTTCAGTAGAATTAAGACTGGAAATCTAGAGTTAGGAAGAAGTTACTCTTGGAAAAAGGGAGTATATAATGGGTGGAAGATGATCGGATCATCAATAGATCAGAGAGAATTCAATCATAATTTCAAGATTACAATTATTGTCCATTTCTCTAATACCCTGAACCACAAAATATAGAACATACAGCATAGTTCCCATAAGCCATATAAAACCAGCCTTGCTGAAGCAACTGATTACAGCTGCTGAGCAGAAAAACTGTACCAGGTCGCATCCTCAAAGCAAGTGAGAAGAATGTTCTAGGCACCCTCAGAAGGCAGGGAGGGAGCAGATAGCTGTCCCCCTGGTCCAGCCCTGGATTTGACTGATGGAGGAGGAGGACATGGGAAGGTATATCCAGCTGAGGGTAGAAAATCCTGTGCATGGTTGCTGGAGTTCGGTTGTGGAGGTTCAGGGGATGAGGATTACTCACTAGAAAGCCCAACCATAATTCCAAGAATGTGGTCTCCAGTCCTCTGGACCTAAGTTGGCAGTTGCCTGGAAGACTTGTGAATACATCATATGGGCCACCATCCCCAGAAGGCCTATGGAGGGAATAAGAAACAGAGGCCTTGGAGAAGGCTTCGTGGCATCTGTCTGTTGGCATCTGGGTCAGTATATGTCAGGGCATCTAGGGGAGGGGGCGTCTCCTTGCATGACTATCTTTACAATGATTACCCCAAACTTTTGGCTGAGAGCTGTGACAGAATCTGAGTCAGTCTGTCATGGCCGGTGCTCATTTTGACTTCTTCCTACCCTTTAGCCTGCACAGTATGTGTGTGTGTGTGTGTGTGTGTGTGTGTGTGTGTGTGTGTGTGTGTGTGTGTGTGTGTGTAAAATCTTATTTTACTTTAAATTCTGTCCAACAATGACACTGTGGAAAAGCTATATATTCCAACTGAAAAGTTAACTGAGCCAAAGGCTTTACACATTGAGAAAGCTTCCAAATAAAGGGACCTAGAAGTAAGAGCGTATAAAGACACAGTCTCCCAGTGTCTTCTGCTGCCCTCTGTGTGTGTGGTTGTATGCATGTGTGTACATGAGTGTGCACAAAGGTCGTCTGGTCTCCCTCTGTTGCTCTCCGTCTTAATTCCCTCCGGGCGGGTTTCTTACTGAATCTGGAGCTGACTACTACTTTGCCCAAGCTAGCTGGCCAGCAAGCCCTAGCAATCCTCCTGTCGGATACTTCCTCGCCCAGAGCTGGGGTTCCAGGTCAAAGCTGCCATGCCCGGCTTTTTACATGGGTGATGGAGATTCTGACTTAGGTCCCCAACTTGAGCAGCAAGGGCTCTTACCCACTGAGCCATCGCCCCAGTTCCTACCCCCAACTCCTTGTTTTCCAGTCCCTTCCTCCTCTCATTAGGGTCAAAGAGCCAAGCCTTGAAGGTGGACCTTGGAAGGGACCTGTGAGCCAATGGTCATGTACACCTCTAATCCCAGTGCTAGGAAGCTCAAAGCCAGTGAGTCTAGCCTAGCCTACACAGGAAGGCCCTGGGCCCTGTCTCACAGTATGAGCAAAGCAAAACAAGGAAAGAAAACCTCCCAAGGAGCCCCGAGAGGAACCCAGCCTCTGGCACTCCATGGTCACTCACCTGACAGGACCAAGAAGATGGCCGCATAGGCGCTCAGCTTGAGCCCACAGCCAGGGTTACTGGTGAGCAGCAGATCTGTCAGTAGCAGGAGGAAGCTGATGAATTGAAGTCCGATGTAGGCAATTTGGGCACCCAGCGATAACCAGAGGACCTCTGCAAAAAGCCAAGAAAAGGAACCCCACCCAGACAGCAGTCAGTAACCACCATGGACACAAGTGCCCACCCTAAGTCAGAGGCCCAGGGGAAAGGAGGATAGACAAAGGTGAAATCAGCACCCGCGGTGTCTGGGAAGAACGGGCGCATCACACTCGATGGGCTGTAAACACTGCTGAGCTCAGTTGTCAAACAGATCACCCCATTTTCATAAACCCTGTGCTAAAGCTCATTATTGACTTTCTCTTTAATTAGGGCTTATGTTTTCATTCTCCCGATCTCTCACTCCTACTTCTAGTGAAACAAACTTGGCCAAGGTGGCATCTACCGGTAATCCCACTAGTCGGGGGGAAGAGGCAGGAAGAAGAGTGGTTTCTCAAGGCTAACCTGGTTACAAAGAGACTATCTCAACAAAACAGAACAAAACAAAACAAAACACAACAACAACAACAACAAACACCAAAAACAGCAACAACAAAAAGCCAATCTCCTCCCCCCAACAACGTCACAAACGGCAAGAAAAGGCCACAAACTCTTCAGGTTGTGTCCTGGGTTGGGTGCTGGTGACTTAATTTGTGAGCTGCATTCCTGCATCTGCATGAGTGTCAACTTTAGGGGGAATTCCTGTCAGCCTGTGGGGCTCAGAGGTAGAGAAAGGTGGTCGCAGTGCAGTTTAGATCCAGAAAGGCCCGGGTCTACAGTTACTGAACACGTACTTGCCACAGGCCTCAAGGGGAGGTGGAGGAGGGAAGCCTTCTCCATCAACCACTCCCCTCCAAATCGGAGAGCGGAGTGATATGAGCCTTGCAACGTGGCAAATTCCAGTAGTCCTTTCTCACCTCTCTGGGCTGGTGGTGTGAGTTCAATGAAAGATCGGCATTTCTCCCCTAAAAGACACAAGGGGCGATGTCATAAGGAGCTTCCTGGGGCTGTGGGCATAGAGATGTCCCACCCCACACCCAACCCTGCTCCATTTGCTCTGACACAGGCCCTGATGAGCATACAAGTAGCCACTCATTCAGCTGGTGTCCCATTCTGAAAACAGGAGAAAAGGCACGCGTGAATGAGGTATCCAAGATTCGTTTTTCTGGCCTTCCTCTCTGATTATGAAAACAACACTTTTCTGAGAGCATCTTTGTAGGGCAGAGTTCCAATTTCCAGATCTACATAATGAGTTCTATGTCTCAATAAACATTTTTTTTTTTTTAAAAGCAGATGAGATGGCTCAGTGGGTAAGGGTGCATGCTTGCCAAGCCTGACTTCTTCAGGCTGATCCCCTGGATCCACATGCTGGAAGGAGAGAGTGGACTTTTGCCCATTGTCCTCTGACCTCCACATGCATGTACACACCCCTACACAAACCCATACAGGATACAAATGAAAATGTCATTGAAAAAGCAGATCAAGTTGTGTACATAGGCCGGTGTGAGGGAATTACCTGGTTCTTCCACGGTTTCCTCACAGGATAGCCACATGCCACTGCGGAAGATAAGGAAGGAGAACCGGTCATCCCCAGTCTCCCAGGTGTATTGTACCACCTCCTGGGCTGATGTGTTGGGGACGCCCCCATCCAAGGACATCGGCATGGCAAAGCATTTGGCTGCCAGACCTTGCCCGCACAGGGGCTTGGGCACCTTCTGTGTGCCCACAAACCACTCGTTGCTGAGCAGGGATGCTGCGGAGAGGCTGAGTGATAGCATGCTGAGGATGGCAGAAACGAAGGTCCGCTGGACAGGGGAACCCTTCTGGAGCTCCATCTGCAACACACAAGCGGGGCGGAGGAGGAGACAGCTGGGAGCGTGCTCCTGGGGCCTCATTCACTCCTCCTCAACACCGATGACCAAGCCTGCCACCTGAGCGCTTTCCCCTGGGGAAGCTGTGCTTCAGTGTGGCCAGGAGCAAGCGCCGTAGTGATGCTGCTCATTTAAAGTGAATGCTGTGTGGCTCTTGCCACAGTAATTTGCACAGGCAGAGTGACGGACACTGGACAGGTTTACACAAGGATGAAGGTGATACCAGATGGGAGACAATTATCCTGAGGGATACTAACAGAGTGAACTCGATGTGAGCAGGGTGGTATCTTGTCTATCTGCTTTAGAAGGCAGGCGAGCATCATGCTAGCCTGGCTTCAGGTTGGCAAGCGGCATGCAATTTGTGCATGTGCACCTGGGTGGAAGGCCTCCTCAGGACCCCACTTACAGCGTGTGTCCTCAGGCAGAGGCAGCAAGGGAACAAGGGAGGCTCCCTGCAGATGCTCTGAGCTGGCCAACCTCTTTTGGGGTACTTTTTATAATTATTTGTTCATGTATAAAATAGTGGGGTTTTGGTAATATTTTCATACATATATATCACTGTATTTTGCTCATATTTGCCCCCTCCAGCCTTTCTTGTCCCCTCTTTCTCCTGCTGGTCCCTTCCTCTTCCCTAAATAATCCTGTTTCTGCTTTCATGTCATATGTAATATGCATCATTCAATCTGGATTCTTTGTTTAAGAGAAAACATGCATTATGTCCCTCCCCCTTCATCCTCTGACGCCCTCCTCTCGCCTTTCCTTCACTCACATAGTTCCCCCTCCACATTCATACCCTTTAGACACACATATATCAACTCATATATATTTCTATACATGACAGAAAACATGCAATATTTGTCTTTCCAAGTCTGGCTTACTTCACTTACCAAGTTGCTCACCAGTTTCACTTATTTTCCTGTAAATAACATAAGTTTATTCTTTATAGCAGAATATAACTCCATGGTGCGCATATATTATCAAGTTGTACCAGTCTAGGGGAAGCAGATGAAGTTTTGATGCCTTCAGGATAAAAGATGGCAGAGGGTATGTAGCTCATTTTGAGAATGTTTGCTTAATATGTGTGAAACCCCGGGTCTGATCCCCAGCACAATACATACCCAGTGTGGTGGTGCACACCTGTGGTCCCAGCACTTGAGAGGGGGAGGCAGGAAGACCGTCCCCAGCTACATAGTGACTTTGGAGCCAGCCTGGGCTACATCAGATCCTGTCTCAGAAATAAAGACCAACATTAACCTTGTCAACCTCATTATGTGATTTGGATTGAATTTGATTTAGGAAAATAATTGTGATCAGTCTTGAGCACCCTAAGGTACTCTTAATACCTGGGGAGGCTCAGGCTCAGCTTCCAGATGGTTCTTAAAGTAAACCATCTTGAGCTTTCATGGGATCTCTCCTATCAGAATTAATCAGGCCACAATCTGCTTAGCTTAAGAGATGTAAATAACATCACAGGCAAATGCGCAGATCCAACAGCATCCCTGCCCACCCCATCTTAGTACAATCTACATTCAACAGTTTACCACCCTGACCCTTTGCTCTTCGGAATCTCCAGGGATGAACACAGTGCATACCACACACAATGTGTTACTTGGGGCAGTAACAAGCATGAAGGTGGTCATGTATAAAAATGTCCAAAACACAAAATGGAAGAGTAAATTGTTTTGGGGAACTAATCTGCCAATGTGATTTTTTTTAAAGCATTCAGCAAATTAACTCCATCGAGGAATGCCAGCCTTTGCAAGACTCTGGGTGGCCTTGACTGAGGACACATGTGTTATCAATCACAGCATCTAGGAGCAGGAAGGGTCTTGGTCTGCCAGTCTGTTCTCTTGTGCTGTTCCACTGCTCAAAGATGTCCTCTTCTTTTTAGTCCAAAAACTGTTGGCTTCCACCGGCATTCCAGTACTGTGGGTTAAAATAATCTCTTCCTGATTGTTTTATTAGTTTTTTAAAATTAATCAAAGTAGTAGGTGTCACAGTGACATTTTCACTTTGTCCTTCTTGGACTCTCTTTGGGATGGCCACTGCTCACTGCCACCAGCCCCTTTGAAGGGGGCTCAACCAGTCCCCTTTTGTCCCATTACCCACCCCCTCCTTCCATTTAGATCTTTTCCCCTCCTCATGATCCCCTTTATCCATGATACACCTGTGCATATATACATATATAAAAATTCAAAGCTATTTTTAAGGTTTTTTTTTCTGGGTTTGGCTTATTTTATTTAATGTATTTTTTCCCACTTTATCTACTTTCCTGCAAATTTCATGATTTTTCTTTACAGATCAATAAACTTTTCTTTACAGATCAATAAAATTCCATATGTCTGTACACCAGATTTTTCTTACCCATCTATTGGTAGTCATGTAGGTTGGCTCAGTACCTTAGCTCCTGTGGAAACTGTGGCTTTAGGCGTGATGTATAGACATCTTTGTGGTGGGTGTCCTTTCTAATGATCTGATAGCCATTGCTTGCAAGTAAAACATCTTCACTAATTATTCTATAAAAAGACCAAACTGAGGATCTAGGCAGTTTCAAGTCTTTCACCTCAGGGTTCAATTTTAATAGCAATATTCAGCCTTAATTGGTTTGGAAAATCGTCTACTATCACATCACACCAGAAGAGATCTTGGCTTTATATTCAATCCATTTCAAGTTACATATTTACCCACGTTCCTCCAGGTTATTCAGACATAAAAAAGGAATATTGAGGCTTACACACACCTGTGGCCTCAACCAAGCTGACAAGCACATTATGGAAGGGGTGATTGGAGAAACAAAGGATGATCAACTTGAATGGACTCAGAGAGGTTCTTTCCTGAAAGAACACCCACCACAGAATGGGGCCTCGTCTCTCCCTTCATACCCTCTTCCTTCTCCACTTGCTGGAGGCAGGGCCTCCTGTAGTTTGTGACCCCAACCTGACTAGAGCTATATACCTAGAGGTTGACCTTGAACTTCGGATCCTCCTGCCTTCACCTCCAAGTGCTAGAATTACAGGTGTGCGCCCCAATGTCCGGGACTTGGCATGCTAGGGAAGCACTCTGGAGCTTCCTCAGCCCCAGGTAGTTAAACTGATGTCTCCTTCAGGAGCCTTTTCAAGAATTGCCATCCATCACAGCACATCCTTGGTCACGCGCCTTACTCACATTGGAAGAGCAAAGGTCATTTCACAAGTTTCTTTAAAGTGACTCGAGACCCAGTGACACAGTCTAAGGCAAGCTCTGCCTTGGCCTGTGCTCACAGATTCCTTCCCAAGGTGACTCTCTGCTTTCTAGACAGGAGACCGAGGAGGAGTCCCCCAGGTGCCGCTGTGGCAGCCACGTTCCCATCCATGCACATTAAGAGAGAAACGCAGCATCAGTGTATGATAAAAAGGACAGCCAGTTGGCGAGGTCCAAAGACCCAGGTGCTAAGGTTTCTCCTGTCAAATAAAAGGGGGAAGCTGGTTACCTTGGCCATGGTTAGCGTCTTGCTGCCTGTCTGGAAGGACGGAAGGATGTCATCTGTACAAGTCTCTTCGGTGTGATGTAGCAAGAGTGAAAGCTGAGTCCGTCCCCCCACCCTCCCTTGCCTCTCCCCTTCCAGCTCGTAGTTTGTGGCATGCCTCCTGATTAAATGCTGCTGTGCGGTGAACACGGGCATCCAATGATTGGCAGTGCAATCTCAGCCCAGCTGTTCTTGAGATTATGCCAGAGAACTTGCCAATCGGGGACCTGGGATTCAATACTGAGCAGCACGGATCAGCATTTGCAGAGGGACTTTCTGTCAAAAGTAAAGGGTGATTTATGTCCTCTCTACCCGTTGTTCCCTAGGTACGTGGTGTGACTGGAAGGGGCTTGATGTTTACAGCAATACACAAAACATATAGATCCACTGTCGTTACTTCAGAATCTCCCCTAGGAAGCAGTTCCAGGCTCGGTGGTGTCTTCAGGAGCCACAGACAGTCCGGCTTGTTCTCTGTGTGGTTTCCACCTTCCAGGCAGTTCATAAACTTGCTTCTCTCCATGTGGGATGTTGAGAAGCACAAGTTATTCTTTCTGTCCTCAGAACTGTACAAATTGGTAGTTCGTAGCAGCTGTTCTTTTCCTTCTACCCAGAATGCTCTCAGTTTCTTCTGACTTTTTTTTTCCAAGACAAGGTTTCTCCGTGTAGCCCTGGCTGCCCTGGAACCTGTAGACAAGGCTGGCCTCAGACTCCCCAGTGCTGGGATTGAAGGTGTGGGCCACCATCGCTTTGAACTTGATTGTAAAAAGCCATTCATTCTTTGAAAATGTTCTCCTTTTTGTCTTTGTCCCATCATGCCTCTCTCTAGCAACTTTTTTCGTTTTTAACATTAGTGTGTGTGTGTGTGTGTGTGTGTGTGTGTGTGTGTGTGTGTGTGTGTGTGTGTATGTGTGTGTAGCTGGGGCATGGCACATGTATGGAAAAAACTTTGGGAGGAGTTGGTTCTCTTTTCTATCATGTAGGTTCCAGGAATCAAGCTCAGGTTATCAGGCTTGGAGGCAAGCCTCTCTACCAGCTGGGCCACCTTGCAGGCTCCTGGATATGTTTTATGTATCATCCTATGAACCTTCATCCTGACACAACTCACTCTTCTTTGGGAGAAGAGGACAAGAATTTTGTGGTCCCTTTTTGCTGTGGAATAAGCTGGTTTCCTGACTGCATGGCTCCCTCAGGCCGCTGGGTGGCGCTACACCCTCATGTTTTCTTCTTTTCTGCCCTTTCCTTCCCTACCAGTCAGCAAAATGTGGGTGGAGGTGGCTACTTCCTCTGTAATTCTGCTTTCTTTCCTTCATTTGGCTGTCACCCTGAACATGAATCTACAGACTGCCGTGTGTCAGCCTTATGGAATTCAGGACTCAGAATGAACTTTGGGGCGTCCAGCCACTCCCGGGAGGACCTTTTAGAGGATTATTTCCTATAGTACATTTTTTGGTGGCCAGTTCCAGTTCTCAGTGACTCAACAGATCCTCAAATGCCTCCCATGGGAAACACAACATCGCAGTATCAGAAAATAAAGTTAGCCAACATTTCCTGATGAGTTTTGTGCACATTTTTCTCTCTTTAATTGTATCCTCATTCTCGCTCCACCCTAGAACAGTGACCAATTCTTTTCCCTTCGCCACGCTTCCACCCTTCAAATACTTGGAGACAAGTCTCATATCCCGCCTTGAGTCACCGCTTGGCACAGCACTGTGTCTTTGGTTTTTATTGCTCTGCTCATAAACCGCACCCCCGAAGCCTTAATAGCCCGAAGTTTGCCTTCTTCAGGGAAAAGGGGATGGGAGTGGCAGGTGAGGAGGCCCAGAGGTGGGTTTAGAGCAAAGCCAATGAAACTCCATCTCCCGGGCCTCTCGCTTATTTGGGCTGTTTCCAAGGGCCTGCTGCCCAATCCGAACTTATAATTTCATATTATTTTCCTTAAAGAAGGTTTCCAAAATATTAGTGTAGGCCTCCACAGCAGCTCTGACCTGCCCATTCCTAGGCTGTGCATTTTATGTGGGTGCCTGGCTGGATGTGACCAGTCTTAGCTCCCTCTCCCCAAGGACCTCGGGGCCCAGTGTCCAATTTCCTCTTCTTAACAAAAACACAAGTTTCTCTGCCTTGCCACAGAAAGTCAGGCCCCAGCATCCCACTGACTTCCTTTCATTGTGAGTTGCACTGACTACTTCCCCGCCCACCCTTTTCCTTCCCTCTCTCAGGACAGAAAAGGTAATTGCTGGTCAATGTAACAAAGCTAATTAGACTTGGCTCAAAAGCTCACAATTCAGTGTAGAGATGAATATCCCGCATCTCAATATAGTATTTCAACTTGGTACGTGGCACTGTTAATGATTCTAGGGTGATGTCCATGAGGCTATGTATGCACCTCACCGTTTACGACATCACAATGCCAGGACCTGGGACTGACCTTTTGCTAATGTCCTCAGTCACACTTCACTGTGCTTGGTGAAACCATTTTTACTAGATTTGCATAAAGAGACATGATGGTTTGGGGACACACATGCTTCGCAGGCAGAAACTCAATTTATTGCGTTTCCAGTATGCTGCAGATTAGAGATGATTAAGGATGCTGAGCAAGAGTACGTGTGTTTGCCTCTTCCTTAACACCGGGCCAGGGGCTAAGGGATCCAGTATTTTTGTCCCCCACGCCATCCACCCAGACATCTTGCTTGCCCTGCCTGGCGAGAGTTTCTCTGTGCTCCCAGGGCCCAGAATTCTTGACCCATGACCCCATTAAGTAACTCCTTCTGTTACTCAACAAACAAAAGGCTGGAGTGGAATTTAAGCGCTTTGGCTGTCACTGGCTGATGAGCAGACAGCTCTGCTTTCTGTGCCTCCACTTCCTGATGGGTACACCTCCCATGTAACTCCTCACGGCCTTCCTTCCGTGTCTGGTATGCTCATTTGGTTCTAAGGCAATGTGTGTAGTATAATCGGCCATGTTTTACGCATGGCTGACTTCAGCGCGGTCTTCACATCAACGAACAAAGAAGTTTTGTAAGGTTAACAAGGCTTATGAACACTGTTGGGAAACCAATGGGCAAAGACGTGAACACAGACATATGTCCAAATCGCTTCAAATGCGCATCACTCTTCCTGATTCACATACAAAAGCAACGAGGAGCCACGTCAAGACCCCAGAGGGCCGGGGGCGAATCGGACCTTCCACACAGATGCAGTTTTCAGCCAGTACATTTCCTCACACCTGTGGGAACATTCCTGCTTTTCCATGAGCAAAGGCTCAGAAAATAGCAATGACCTCATTACCAGTATTATCTTTAGTCTGACTAGAGGACAGGTCACTCAAAAGAGTGACAGGTCGGAAATGTTCTGTCCGCTTCAAGAGGAGTGACTCCCTACAGATTAGGGTCATTTCGATGTGGCGCGAGCCTTCTGAGCTTTAATCATATACTACGGGACATTGAACTTCAAGGTTTCCCAGAGGACATTTATTGTGTTCTCTGTGCTGTGTTCAACTCTGGACCTCCCATTCTCAGCTGTACCCATCTTGTAAGGGCCCGCATGACCCCAAGCACTCCTGAGGTGGGTCGGGAGTGCTGGGAACTTTCTCATTTATGTTCAGTGGGAAGGGCCAAAGGAAAAGACCTGGGGCCTCCCTGGAGCCTTTCCCTTTCCGCTTTGTCATGGAATTGTTAGAGGGCTTTTGCTATAGCAGTCAGTTCCAGGAGAGGAAGCCCCAGCTTTTCGTCCATGCCCAAGTCGCTGGTGTGAATCAGAGGGGCAGCCACAGCTGCATTTCCTGTGGAGCAATCTCTCACGCGCGCGAGTGACTGCTCAGACAGGGCTGGCCCGGGCTGCCAGGGGACTGAGGATCCAATGAAGAAGAGGGGTGTCCGGGAAACTGCTGCCCATAGACAGTGCAGGGTCACCCCTTTCCGCCTCAGCGCGCCTCCCTTCGCCACAACGTTTTCTTCCCCCTCTCCCCTCATCTCCACCCTCAGCCTGGGTGTCTGAGCCCGATGGGATTTCCACCACGCTTCCCCCAATGAGTAACCCTGAGCGTTTACTACGGCGCCCCAGTTGCCTAGCAGCGGTGGTTGCCACGGCGACGCACCAGAAGCCTGTTTTGAATTGTTTGGTGAGGCCCCGCCCTTGCGCCTCGGGCGCTTGGGACTTCCAGGACGGGCGTGGCAGGGAACCACGAGGTTTCTTCCTCTTTCTCTTCCTTGGGTGGGTCCTGAGTCCCGTTGGCCTCCCTTGATGTAGGACGTGGACCGGCCCAGGGCAGAGACTGGGTCCTGGGATAAATTCCTCACACCCTGACAAGGCGTGAGGACCCACCCGGTTGCTGTCAAACCCAAAGTCAAGCATTTCCCAAAGATGCAGGTCCCTGAACCCTTTCTGATGGAGGGGCAATGTAGGCCTGCCTTGTTTTGTAGATGCCAGAGGTAAGGCTGGGGACTTGAACCCCGCAGCGCATCTGAGGTGTAGTGGTTACCTACCTGCTTCCCCAAGGGATGATGGGAGAGGTGGGGAGTTCTCTACAGTTGTGGTCTGAAGATCTAAAGAAGTGGGAGGAAAGTGGAATCTAAGGAAAAACCATCCGAACTACCAAGCTAGGGGCTAGACGCTTCACTAATTGCTCCCTAGGCACCCACATCCCGCCAGATTCAGAGGCGGTATCTCCACTGTTCAAGTGAGGGCTCAAATTCAGTCTTTGACTTGCACCAGATCACAAATGCAGACATGGTGGAGTCGCCATTCAACCCTGCAAACGCTAGGAGGCTGACTCCTTTCGAACTAAAAGGCCGTCCAGCAAAGGGCAGGCAGACATCTTTTAACAAAAGTCACGGACTGCAGGTCACGTCAGGGAACCGCCTCTAGAATGAGGCACGGGAACACATGTGCTGTGCTTTATACCTCTTAGGTCCATGTTAACCAACAGACTCCCCAGTAACCTCGCTGTCCCCTCTGTAGAGAACCAACGATAAGATAATAAAATTGCAAGCTCTGACTGGCTTTGGCTACCGTGTTCATATCTGTCTGTAAGGGCTCTTCAGTTGATCGTGGCCCCTTTGGCTTCTTCTGAACTGAGGAAGCTGCCTGAGCCCATACTGCTCTGCCCCACAGTCTCACAAACGCCTCTTTCTTAGGTTTCCTTGGCCTTCTGAACACACTCGCCCACTGCCCAGTAACCCTACATCGCTCCCCCACCCCAACCCCAGGTGTGCATCACGCCACTAAAGGTGGGACTCAAATACTGAAATAAGGGAAATTAATCAGTATTCACAAAACTTCCGAAAGCTCTGTACCTACCTCCTGGGTGAGGCAAACATTTTGAGTTAGCCGAGAGGGATTGCTCATTCACCGGTGTAGTTCTGAAACAGAGGTGTTTCAGTTCCTTCTCTGATGGTTCTTATTCCGTTGCGTGGCTCAGGTGTTGAGGGAGGGGATTCACCAGGCCCCCTCTTGCCAGCAGAGGGGTAAGGTGGTATGTGGTGAGTTGGGAGAGGATGAATGTCCCTCAGGCAGGACACTGGCTTGGGTGGGGGTGGGTTACTATGACTTTGCTCTGTGATGTCACAGTGGCAGGCAGGGGGGTCTCTCCCCTCGATGCCCCACCCACTCCTCTCCCAACCCCAGAAAGACCAGGTTGGGAGAAGGGGCACACTGGGTACCTCTCAAAACCCAGATGCCTCTGAGGTCTTCCAATCAGTGCTTTTGTATATCAAAAAGACCTGGGGAGTTCATCCAAACACAACTCTGAAGGTTAGGGATGGCTGGCACGTGGTGCTA